AAGCCTGTTAACTACAGTCCTCATGGCTGAAAAATGTCAGCTGTTCTATTAAAGGCAAGGGAACAAGCAGACAATGAATATGACCCAGGGTCAGATATCCACAGGCCTAATTAACAGGCAGTACCAGGGATGGACCCAATGACCTAGATGACCAGGAAAAGCTGGAGCATTTTCATGGTCTGCTTTTGAGAGCTATGTAAATGGTGAGTCAGCTACCCGTTAACTGGTCCAAGCTGAGGAGGATCTATCAAGGTCCTGAGGAAACCCCTCTGCCTTTCTACAGAGGCTGCAGGATGGCCTCAGGCAGTATACCAATTGGGACCCTAACGCCCAAGGCAATACAGTGGTTCTTAATACCTATTTTATATCTCAAAGCACTCCAGATATCTGTAGGAAGCTCCAAAAATGGGCTATAGGTCCTCATACTAATTCTGCACAGCTAGTAGAGGCTGCTTTCAGGGTGTTCAACAACAAGGATGAAGCTGAGGAAAAAAAGGATGACAAAAAGATGCAGAGACAGGTAACTCTACTCACAGCAGCCCTCCAGGCTGCTCAAGGTAACCCAAGAGAGAGGAGGAAGATGCCATGGGTGAGTAACCCCGGCCCCCACAGAGGGACCAGAAGGCTGCCAACAAAGTTGGGGGCTAATCAATGTGAATACTGCTGGCAGGAAGGACATTGGTGGTGGGACTGTCTGAACCATCCCCAGAGAGGGAGGGGATCGAAGAGGACCGAATCTTACCAACTTCCCTTGACTACAGATGAGATGTGATGGGGCTGTGGGGTTCCCCGGTTTGCTCCAGGCAACAAAATCCTCATCTTCCTGAGGAGCCCGAGTAACCTTGGCATTGGGAGGAGAGCAAGTTGAATTCTTGCTAGATACTGGAGCCACTTTTTCAGTCTTGAACACCCAGAAGGGAAACCTTTCCAAGAAAAAGTGTGATATAAAAGGAGTGGCAGGAAGAAGAGAAACTAAAAGGTTTCTGGAGCCTTTGACCTCTGAAATAGGACCTAAAATGTTAAAGCATTCTTTTCTATACTTACCAGCATGCCCTGTTCCCCTTTTAGGGAGGGACATATTATTTAAGCTAGGGGCCTCGATAAGCTGGGAACAAGATAGAATAGAGATCCAAGTCCCTAAAAGTCTGCGAGTTGAGCTCATGGCCCTGTTGCAAGATACACCAGCACCTGAGAAGTAAGGAATTCTCCTAAATGTTTCAAGCTGAGTTAACTCAGAAGTAAGGGCATGAGGCAGGTGACACAAGCAGCCAGTGCCACGCCTGTAAAGGTGGGATTAAAGCAGATAGATCGTTGGCCTTGGGTAAAAAAATACCCCTGGAAGCCAGAGGCCATAAGAGGAATCCCTCCTGTCCTAACAGACTTTAGAACCAGGATTGATCAGGCCATGCAGATCCCCATGGAGTACTCCCATGTTACCCATTAAAAAGCCAGGAAGGGGAGAACAGAGATTTGTTCCAGACCTTAGGGCTATCAGTGAAGCAGTCCGAGACACACGTCCTGTAGTACCTAATCCTTACACCCTGCTAGCTAAGCTCCCTGGGAACAGCAGATTCTATACAGTGCTGGATGCTTTTTTCTGTATTTCATTGGATGCTGAGTCCAGGAAATATTTGCCTTTGAATGGGAGGACCCAGGCTCCCACCAAAGGCAACAGTACTGCTAGACTGTCTTACCCCAAGGGTTTAAGACCTCCCCTACTATCTTTGGGGAAATTCCGGGCTGAGATTTAAGGGAATTAAAATTAGAACAGAGTACTGTGCTACAGTTTGTAAAGGATATCCTAATAGCCAGCCCTACTAAGGAAATCTTTGATGAAAATACTGTAGCTATGTCAAACTTCTTACCCAGTAAGGGATATAAAGTGTCTAAAGGGAAGGCACAATCTTTAAGGAAACTGTAAAGTATCTGGAGTTTATCATTTCAAGGGGACGATGCAGACTTCCTCAAGAGAGAAAAATGGTAATATGTCAAATTGCTCCACCAAAGACTCATAGACAGCTGCGAGGATTCTTAGGGATGGCTGACTTTTGCCACATTTGGATCCCTAACTTTGGACTGCCTGCCAAGTCTCTCTACAACAAACTACAGGGGCCAGAAATGGACTCTTCGAATGGTATAAGCTGTGTGACCAAGCTTTCAATAAACATAAAAACTTGATAATGGAAGTGTCTGCACAGGACTTACCAGACTTGAGCACGACATTTGACCTGTTTGTTCATGAAAGACAGTGAATAGCTATAGAATTATTAAAGCAAATGTTGGGATCCTTAAAAAGAGTGGTAGCCTATTTCTCAAAACAACTAAACACTATGGTAAAAGGATGGCCCCCATATATAAGAGCTGTAGCTGCCACCTGCCTATTAATCAAGGAGGCAGAAAAATCGACAATGGACAACCTATGATGATGTGGACCCCCCATCAAGTCTCCAGCCCACTAGAGACTAAGGGACATCTTTGGCTATCTCAAAATAGAGTACTACAGTATCAGGCTGTGCTGCTAGATTCTCCTCAGGTTTCCTTAAAACCCTGTCATACCCGAAACCCAGCTACCCTACTCCCTGATTCCAGTGGGCCTATTACCCATGCCTGCCTAGAAGGGATTGATCAGGTTTACTCTAACTGCAAAGACCTCCAGAGAGAACCACTGCCTAATGCAGAGGAAGTATGGTTTTTCTATGGGAGCAGCTTCACGCATAATGGACAAAGGAGAGCAGGTTATGCAGCAGCGTTCTTGCAGGCAACCCACACACTGTCCACCAATGCCCCCCACATTCCACCTTCTCACTCAGGTCCTGCCCCACAGAGGCAAACACTGAGGCATAGGAGCCAGGCACCCAGTCTATGCAGGCCTGAGAGCTTGCTGTTGGGTCGTGCCAGTCCCTAGGGTGGGCTTCCTGCCTTGGCTGAGCTGGATTAAATTGGTGCTCTAGTGGATGGTGCGGACCCTGGGCTAACAGACCAAGGGAAGAACTCCAATGGCGTCTGCCAGCGTCTGGTCAGCACACCTGTACTAAGTCACAGTAATGGCCGCTGCCAATGTCTCAGTCCCTGGAGAGGTCTCACCTCTCACTGAGATGCACCCAGAGCCTACCAGGTGAGTCTCTTAAAAAGATATTCTGCTCAAAAATAAGTTACTTACCTTTGTGCTTTTTCTTTTTTTTTTTAATCAGAGTTGGCTTGTGAAGTTTCATAACTTAAACAGGAAATTCTAATATTTTAAGTCTTTGAATCATTATGCTGAACAAAATGACTGTAATTTCATTGATTATTTTTATATTTTATCAGGAATTTTAGATTTTTGCTAATATGTTTTGACATCAAATTTAATTTTGTTTCTTCCTCTCCTAGATAAAGGCTTGAGTACTTCAAGGTAAGATTTTAAGCTAACCTTGATATACCCAACATCTCTTGCCAATCTTCCTTTTTTTTTCTCCCCAAAGCCCCAGTACATAATTGTACATCATAGTTATAAGTCCTTCTAGTTATTCTATGTGGGATGCTGCCACAGCATGGCTTGATGAGCAGTGTGTAGGTCCACATCCAGGATTCAAACAAGCAAACCCCGGGCTGCCGAAGCAGAGCACAGGAAATTTATTACCACACCACCGGGCCGGCCCTGAATGGACTTAATTCTTGAAAATCTTACTCCTCCCCGGTTGGAGTCTAAAGGACAATGTAGAGGGAGGTGCCATCTATTGAGAGAAGAGGACAGGAGGAGGAATGGATCACTGTGGTAGGGACAATAGGGTGTTTAATTTTGCATGGAAATGTTTAGGACGTGATGGTATGAGTCTGAAATTTCGAGTGGATATGTTGAAATGACCTTGACTTGGTGTAATGTAAGATGATAAGGCACTACTGGAGCCTATCAAGCGGCTTATGGCTTAGAGAAGGACCCAGACACTGAAGGCAAAGTGTGTGTCACAGCCACGGGTTATGAATATGAAGCAGAGGGAGCCACTCATGCCAGCGGAAAATGAGTAGAAATGAACCTGATGCAAAATACGGGTAAGACATTCCGTATGAGCTTCATAGACTGTGATCATTAAGTAATGCTGACTGTTGAGAGCCAGGTGGCAGGCTGGCACTTAGTAGGCCCTCAAGTGCTGTTGTTTGTCACAGTGAGCGCAGCGGTGATGGTGAGAAGAGTGAGCAGGGTATCAGAGTTCTCACGCTGGGCAAACAGAAGATAAGTTTGCACTCTGTGGTCAGGTGAGACAAATGCCTCTGAGAGGGGTGTGGAGTTATGCGCTGTGTTCTGAAGGTTTACATGTATTATCCACCTGTAATCGGGGGCTTTATGTGCGCTGTTTTCCTGTAATGGTGGATGGTAACATTCTCATCTTGGGGCTGAAGAAGACTGTCTTATAAGGATTGTGAGTTATCCAGGTCCTCCAGAGACTAATGGTAAAGCCAGGATTGTACCCAAGTGTGTTTGATTCCGAAGGCCTTGTCCTCAGAGCCTCCCACCGTGGTTCTCATAAAAGGCAGTCTGCTGGACAGCAGAAAGGCATTGGAGGCTTTCAAGTAGCCAGTCAAGTGACATTTAGAAGGACCTCTCTGGGTCATTTTAAAGGTTGGGTGGAAGTGGGGAAAACCAGGAAGAAGTGCTTTGTTTTTTGATTTTGATTTTTGTCTTTTAAAGCAATTGCAGATTTATTTTATTTGATAATTGGAAGACAAATTATAAGTACATAGGATGCTTGATTTTTCTCGTTTCTCCTCTGGTGATGACAGGGCTATTTGAACTATTCACATTTTCTAAGAATATTGCTTAATGCTGGGAAGAAGGCTAACACATTTTATTGTTTCCCCATCTTTGAAAAAAGATTAAATAGGAATCTCATTGAATAGGGTTATTTCCATATGTTTCCTACATTTTAAATGCCACTAAAAGTACCTTTCTTCAGGGATCATAGTCATGCTAACAAGTTATTTGTGCTCATAGGGCCAAATAACGGGCCTTTGCTCTTGACACATCAGGATAATTCAATTTTACTGGTTTTGGTAATAATCTTAGAAACGGTTTTCATCTCTTTGTAATTAATTTACATTACATTTCTGAGAAGATAAAGAATTACATGCAGGAAATCACTGAATTAAAAAAAATATAGCCAACTATGAGAAAAAGGTATAATCATCCTTTGATTTTTCTTTTCATGGCTTCATGTTGAAGCACTTCCACTTTCTTCTAGTTCACTTATTTTGCTGTCTCTTCCTGCATCCTAGTGTCCCATTTCATTACATTGTATAACAGTCTAAATTCAAATCTTAGAAAGTACCACTTTTCTTATTTTAGTAAGGACTTACCCATGGGAGATAGGTTTTGCTATCACTATAATTAATATTTTTGAGTTCTGAATCCTTTATCATATATTTGTATAGATCAAAGAAGCAAAGACGAAAAAAGGCAAGGTAAAAAATCTCTTCTTTTTCCCAGATTACACTTTAAAAACAGAAGTACAAGTAATGAGTAAATACGACTAATCTCTATTTGTTTTGTTGAAGAATAACCTCAAATCACTTGAACGCACTAATGAAATCCTTAATAGCAACATTCAAAGTATACATGTGACGTTGCAGTCAGATAGAGACCGGAACATCAAGAGTCAGGACTTGGTGGGCCGGACCATGGCCTAGTGGTTAAGAACAGTGTGCTCTGCTTTCACGGCCCAGGTTCAGTTCCCAGGTGCAGACCTACACCACTTGTCAATGGCCATGCTGTGGCAGGTGGCCTACATACAAAATAGAGGAAGTCTGGCACAGATGTTAGCTCAGGGAGAATCTTTCTCAAGCAAAAAGAGGAAGATTAGTGAATCCTCCTCAGTGAAAAAAAAAAAAGAAAAAAGAAAAAGAAAAGAATCAGGACTTGGTGAGAGTCTTCCTACAAAGTTATGACCATAATTTGGCTTTTGAGACTTTTTGTTCATTGGGTGAATTGAGCCCTGCATTCCTCCATGCTGTTCACTGCTCTTTCAAGTACTAATACCACAATACCTCTTTTTATTTAAGGATTTAGGAAGAATTTTTTCTGTTTCTACAACTATGGGTTAATTTTTTATATCATGCAGCACCTCCCTCCCCTCCAAGAAACCTAGAACTGAGAAATTGTAGGAGAGAGTACTAGAGACTTCTAGCCAGGTTGAGCAGTCCTAGCCCTCGTAATGCAAAGTAGAGACTTTTCAAAGTGAGTCTAGTGACAATATTTACCTTCCACTAAGAAAAGCTGCTCACTTGAGCTGTTTGGCTTCAAGGTTTTAGACCTTCTTTGCTTTGCCTTGTCGCCCAGTCAACTAGCCCGTTGTCTCAAAAGTAGGAAAACTGCAGTGCCCATGGTGAGGGGCAGGCTGGAGAGCGGTCCTGGGAATAGTGCCTGCTTGTCTGGAACACACATTCTTTAGTAGTCTGCAATTGTCTCTACGATCCTCTTGGACTTGCCCCTTACCACCCTACTTTTGCAGACACAGGCAGTGAGACATGTAGCGACAATAATTTATTGCCTTGACTTCTATAATTAACCTAAGCACTCCATGGGACCCAGTGGGAAGGGTGGGGTTTTGTGGTACTGAGGCCACTCTTTTGCAACCTGGTGGAGGGGAAGGTGACAAGTATTGTCCCTGCTTTATTGAGGTTCAGCTTTTGTTGCAGGTAGAGTTTTTGCCCATAATAACATTTCCATGCTTTAACTCTGTTCCACAGGTCAATACGGCTGCAAGAGCACACGCTCCTTTCCCAGAATTGCCCTAGATGCTCTACCCGTGGGTTGCCCTTTATCACCACTCATGGACTATGGGTGACATCTACCTCCTCCACATGAGTGGCCTCTGTGACTTCAACCACCACCTCCACTCCCCAATTGGTAAGATGATCTGAACCCTGTGTGCTGACTTGCAGAGCATATTCATCTTTTTTCTTGTTGAGTCTATGGAGAAAAGGTAGAGCTGGCACTACAGAGCCTTGCAACGCAAGCTCTGGCTGAAGTCATCGTAACATCACTCAGGTTTCTCAGGACACACATACCATGGGCTGTGAATTTCTCCATACTGAGCTGGGCAGCAGGTGTGTCTTGTGGAGAAGGAAAGTGGATTTTGCAGAAAGAGCAGTTCTGCAGATTTGTACAGAGTCCATGTGCCGGGCTCTGTGGTAGATGAGGCACACCCCTAACTTCAAGGGCTTAAGGTGTCCTGTAGGAGACAGACATTCCCATTAAAAGCTTGTGATCACCCTAACAAAAGCAGCACCAAAGGGCCCTGGAAAACAAATGAGTTAGACATAAATCTCACCAGGATGAAATGGAAGGTTGTGGCAGAGAAGGAATAATTGAAGTGCCCAGTGGGAGTTGGTTGGGTTCCCTTCAAAGGAGCTAGAAGGCCATTCCCAGCAAGGCAAGCAGTGTGAGCAGGGATGTGAAGGCAGCATGAGGTCCACGCAGAGCCACTGCATGTTTTCCAGTCACACAGTGTGGGCAACGCAATTATCCTCATCAAAATGTCACTATTGCCATAACACCCTTAGTTCATAATCCAAATAAAGATTCTTGTTTCCTTGGATTTCTGAAAGTTCTGGGTCTGTGTGAGAGAAAAATCCCTGTAAGTTTGGAAATTTAACTTCACTCTTTCAGGATACTTGGCCTGGGTTTACTGTGCCCCGGCGAGACTAACAGTGAAGACAGGATCGTTATCCGCTGAGCAGCTGCTTTGGTCTTCCGCATGAGTCAGACTCTGTGGGGAATTCAAGGTTGATCAGATCCTTGCATCCTCTAGTCACCACCCCTGACTGTCAGCTTTGCATCTCCCCAAACTTGCCACACAGTATCCCAATTCTTTGCCTGTGTTTCTGCTGACTCAGCCCCCAATACCAGCTCTCAGTGGCGCCTACTCAGAGCCTCAGTCCCATTGTCCGTGAGAGGGGTAATACTGGCTTCTGAGGTCATTGTGAGGAAGATAAGATTAAATACCTAATGAAAGTGTCTTGCAAAATGGCTGGGACATGTTGGTACTCACCATTCTCACTGTTCAAATGAAAATATCTCCACACAGATTATCTGAAGATGTTCACTGAAGTACATTCAATTAAATTAAGGGTGTAAGAGCTCGGGCCCAGAGATTCACAATCCTGATTTCAAAAGATAAGGCAAGGACCCCCCTTTTTCTAAGAGAGGAAGAAACAAAATTAAATTTGATGTCAAAACATACTATTAGGAAAAAATCTATAGTTCCTAGTAAAAGAATATAATGTAATGAATTTATAAATCATTTTGATCAGCATTATGATTCATAGCTTTAAAAATAAGAAGAAATATAGAATTTCCTGTTTAAGTCATGAAACTTCACAAATCATCTCTGATAAAGAACAAAAGGTAAAATTCTTTATTTTTGATCAAAAGATGTCTTTATCTTCTGTTAGATTAACACTGATCATTTCATTTTCATAATGAATGTGGCAAGCATTTTCATAAATACACTATTGCATAATTTACTTGATTTTATTTTGCCAACCCCAATATCCACACTGAAGTCCAGAACCTGGGATTGCTTTAAAAGCCTCCAAAAATATTTTAAAAAGAAAAGGCAAAATCTTTGTACTAGGATATGCCTCTTTCAATCAATAAAAAGCTTTTCTGAAATCTTACAGGGTTGGCTGTCTGCTGAATTGATAAATAATTACAACACATCAGGTCCTATGATTTTCCTAGACCACGATAAAGAGAGGGTCATCAAATGAGAAAGAGAGTGGGAGATGGCTAGGAGAAAAGCACAAGCAACAACAGAAACGACTGATAACATTTCAAGAAAGGACAAAAAGTGCTTCCTAGAGCCGAGTCATCCCCTGTGGAATTATAGCTCAATAAAATCCAGGCGGGACCCCATTGTAATACCATGGAAAGATTCATTTTCCTGACCCCTAAAACATATTTTCCCTTTCAAAAGTTTTAGATGATGATCAGATGCTGAGGCCAGCCCAAAAAACTTGCCAAGATATTGGAATATCATTATAGTATCAAAAGTTAGGCATAATAAAGTTGTTACAGGAAAATGCATCCATGGAAGGCAAACGCAAAATCACAGATATACCTTTAACTTCACACAATGTTCAGGAAACAGTGCACTTCCCTGTCCAGTGTCACCCAACCCCACAGGGAGGGACAACTGGGAAGAGGGATGGGGTCACCAAATATTTAATATCTGTGTGTTCTCTTTGAAGGGGAGTGTTTATAAATTGTAGTTTCCTCATTGAAAATATATTGTGTTGTTCAATGAGTTGCTAAAAAGATTAGAATATTTTACAAAATTAACTTCCATTTCAAACATTAATTTGTGTCCAAGTTAGAGATCTAAAGGAAACAAAAGAGCTGGACTTCTGGATTCTGATCCAGCTTGTAAGGAGCTTGGAAGTTGTCACTCCTGTCCACATAACAAGCAAAAAGCTGAACAAACTAAATGTCAAAAACTCTTCATAGGTCTATCAGAGAAATGATGTCACAGGGCCATTGTTGCCTGCAGAATCAGAGAACCAGACTGGCTCATACCGACAATCACTACTTACTGGACCAGAAGCCCAAGATCAGAACTCTCCACAGGAACCAGAACACCATGGTAGGCAAACTTATAGTGTAACTGATGAAGTCCTGAACACTCAGTGTGGATAAGCAAGAGATTTAAAAATGCCAGGGTACCCAGTCTCAAGGAGCTGCCATACTTGTGTGAGTTTTATCTTCAGGGATCTTAACAGGTTCTCACAGGAAATACTGGAGAAAAATGCCCTCATGCTATTGGCAGGGAGAGGGGGAAAAACAGCCATTTAGAAATAAATTCATAGTATTCTGTTCTTCTTAAAAAGACCTGGCTGCAAGAGAAACTACTTTAGTAGAGCCTAACTGGTGTTTTTCCAAAGACTGAGTGACCTAGGTGAAGGGAAATACCCAACTCCAGAGCTCTCTCTTCCTGTCTCACCTAAGAGTTAACTCAGCATAACCCCAGCCAGACAAACATAAATCCTCAGACTAAAGATCTGTTTACCTCAGTTGTTCCTTTAAATCAGGAGACCACATCCAGCTTTCAATAGGCAGACTAAAAGAAAAAACACACAGTTTGAACACAGAGAGTAAGCCTTAGAATTGCACTCAGTATGGCAGAGATGATGGAATTATTAGGCTAAGAATGAAAATCACGATGATTAACATGCTAATGGCTCCAGTGAGAAAAGTGGACAACACGCAAGAAGAAAAGGCGAATGTAAACAGAGATGAAACTTTGCCCAGAACTGCATACTGTAGCAATTCACATAGCTGACCACGGGTTACTTCACAGTTTTCAGTCTATAAAATGGTAGATAAGTGGGCTTTCTACAAACATAAATCAGGGTATAAGAAATTATGATTATGGAGAACAGCAACAAAGCCAGGCAAATGATTACAATATTCCAGTTTCTGATTATTTTAGCATATGCCCAAAGATAAGGAAGGTTCTAATTAATTGGAAATGAAGGTCTAAAACAACATCCTATGATATGATATTATTAATAGAACATTTAATAAACATTGATATAGAACCTTAACTACAGATACTTGGTTATGTGCTGGGGATAGCAGGGTGAAAAAATGTGCTTCAGTCTCTCAAGGAGCTACTCAACTAGGCAGAAAAATGCAGAGACAAGTAATTACAATGCAATGTGGGTAAGTGCTACTATAAAGGTATAGGAGCAAAGAGGCTCACTGCCTTGGGGGTTAGAGTTTCAGGGATAGCTTCAATGGGATGAAAATACTGGGGCTGAGCCTTGAAAATAATGAGTCAGCCAGGTAGGACGGAACATTGCATCTAAACACGGAGTCTGGTTTGGCTGGAGCCAAGACTGCATGTTGCAGAGCAGCAGAGATAGGAGAGGAGAGGGCAGTGGGAGCCAGGCCACACAAGATCAATGTGCTCAAAGCTAAGGAGTCAGACTTTATCCTGGGGAAACTGAGAGTTCCCTGAAGCTCCTCCCTCCTTAAAATAGCTTTGCACTTATATCTGGTTATTAAAGTAATTCATGCTTGTTACAAAAGAGTCAGATAATAGAGAAAGGTAAAATAGATAAAAGACAGACAATAGATAAATGAAAATAAGTCACCTATACTTGTACAACTCAGAGATAATTACCACTGCCATTTTGGTCTGGGGGCAGCAGAGTATAGCGGTTAGGAGCTCAAGCCCTGGAGTCACATAGTGCAAGTGCAGTGTACTGAGGCTAGTGCCTGACATATCATAAGTACTTAATAAACACTAGATATTATTACTATTACTATTTTTCCCTTGTGACTTCTTTAAGGTATTGTTGAGCACTTATGATTAGCCATTTACAGTTCTCAGCACTTTACACCTATTAAGTCATTTAATTCTTACAAGTCTTCTTAAGCGGGTAATACTATTATACCCATTTCACAGATAAAGAAATGGAGGAACAGATAAGAGGGAGAACCAACACTAGGACACAGGCTCCAAAGCCAAAACTCTCTTCTTTATACTACACTGTCCCCAAGGGATTTTTGTAACCAACTCCTCCCACCAAAAATAAAAAAATCTGTAAATATGTTTTCATATCAATTAAATATAACAACTGTCAATTTTAATAACAGTCCAGTCTCTAAATTGACCTAAAAACTTACGTTACCTGAAAAAATTCCTTTTTGATGACACTGGTTTTGTTTTTTGTTTTTTCGTGAGGAAGACTGGTCCTGAGTTAACACCTGTTGCCAATCTTCTTCTTTGTGCTTGAGGAAGAGTGGTCCTGAACTAACATCTGTGCCCATCTTCCTCTATTTTGTATGTGGGTCGCCACTACAGCATGGCTTGATGACTGGTGCAGGTCTGTGCCTCGAATGTGAACCTGTGAACCCTGGGCTGCCAAAGGGGAGTGTGCAAACCTAACCACTATGCCACTGGGCTGGCCCTGACACTGTTGCTTCTTTAAAAAAATTATAAACAATATTAAGATGAGCATCCTTGTACGGACATCCTAGTATACCTGTCTATTTTCTCAGGATAAATTCCTGGTCAAATAAGCAGGGATATTTTACATTCTGACAATATTGCTAACTCCTGAAAGAATGAACCAATTTATATTTATCAACCAAAAATATGTGAGATTGATAAGGTGGGACTGAGTGAGGCAGGGGGTCTATATGGTCATGAGTAATCATGGTTGCTGAGCACAGGACGTCAGAGCCTGAGTAGGGTGAGGAGGGCATCCTGTAGGGGAGACAGCCCAGGACTAGGGGCAGGAACCCAGGACACACACGCAGGAGGGTGGCCTGGTGTAGGTTGTCAAGCCTGAGCGGTATGAGGAGGGCGTCCATGCTGTGGGAAGTAGAGAGCAGTGAGGCCTCATCTCGGATGTCAGAAACTGTTTAAGGTAAAATAAGGCATCAATGCTGGGGGACAACGGTAGCCCTTCACAGAATTCAGAGCCCAAACAGGGTGAGGGTGTCCACGTGAGAAGGTTAAGGGCATTCACACAGGAGGGTGACCTGGTACAAGGTCAGGGTGACAGAGCTCTAGAAGGGTGAGGAGGGTGTGGGGCAGTGGCAGCAATGGGAGACTGATCAAATATATTGAAGATAATGGGAGTCAGGTTTCTCACTGTTAGAGAAGGAAGTTATAAATATGAAAAGGGAGAGAACTAGAATGAAGCCTGTGGAATTGGACTGGAAGTAGAGATACTGATATCAACTCATGGTTTTTCGATATGTAGGGATACAGAAAAATATTTAAATCTAAACAAGTGTATGTGTGTTTGTGTATATGTGTATACCCATATACACATATGTTTCCTAGCTCTCTTTTGGCAGTATTGACATCCCAACAGCAAAGAGCACAGCTAGCACCCAGATCTTGAGTTTCTAAATGTCATTCTCCACTAAAAAAGAACCAAGTATCCTAGGAAAAATGCCTGATTCCAGGGCTGGGCAAGGGAAAGCACAGATGAGGCTGAACAACATCTTTTTGTGTCAGAAAAGTAAGGAAATGCTCAAACAGTTATGGGATCATGTCAAAAGGACACAGAAACTAGCTTCATGGCCAAATCTGGGATATTTTCAGCATCAATATAAATTTAGTAATTGATTATAACCCACTGAGTGAAACAGGTATCCATCAGTTAATTCTAAAAAATGAATAAATTAAGTTTAATGAGGAAGCATCTCTGTACAAAATTACAGAGAAAAAGAGTAACTTTAGAGAAGTTTAGCACACACTATCTTAATCAAGTCATCAAAGCTAGTATCACTAGTAATAATGGAACAAATCAAAATTGTGTACAACCTGATAAAATACAAGAGAACAGAATATGACTTCTGTGATATTCTTGCCAAAGATGTTAACCTGAATCTAATCAATGAGGAAACATACAAACCTGAGGGACATTCTACAAAATCAGTGGTCCAAGACTCTTCAAAAGTAGTAAAGTCATGAGTGTCAAGGAAGACTGAGGAATTGTCTGGATGGAAGGAGACAGGACAACTGAATGTAACACATTCTAGCCTGGATCTTACTGCTTGAAAGGACGTTACTGGAACAACTGGAGAAACTCGAATGAGGCCTAAGGATTACATGGTAGCAATGTATCAGTTATTTCCTGATTTTGGTGGTTGCAGAGTATTGTTCGTAGGAAATATACACTAAAATGGGGGAGGGGAGATGGAGCATTGTGTTAGCAACTTCCTTCAGATGTTGGCTGGGGGAGTTTTGGGTACTGTTCTCGCTTTTCTGGAAGTTTGTTTCCAAATAAAAAAAGCGATGAGACTGTCAGCTTCCTTACTCTGCTTGCCACATTAACCTTTAAAAAATTGCTTTGCCAATAAGCAAAAAAAAAGAAAAAAAAAAAGAAAAAGGAATCCCCCTTCAATAAAATCTGTTTCCGAGCACTAACTCCCCTCTAGCATCCTGGATGACACATCGTATCTTTTGTTGATCTTCTGTCTCTCCCCACTGGAACCTAAGCAGTGGTCTTCCACTCCCTGCTGCAGCCCAGGGGCTCAGGGCGGCGCCCAGCACCCGGCCCACAAGAGACAGGTGACGACTGACGGATGAGCGACCCATGCTCAGCTCTCAGCAAATGGCAGGGACGACCAGCAGCCTCACGACTCCCCTTTGGAACGTAAACTGCACGAGGGCAGGGAATCGTGCTTCCGTGCGCCGGGATGTCCCCGGCACCTAGAACAACCCTGGCACACGGAACACCCGAATCAACGTCTGCCGAGTGAACATCCGTCCTGTGCGCCAGGTCTACACAGGTCTAACCCGCCAGTATCTCCCCGGAGGTGGGAGGCGTTGCCCCGTCACTCCCATTTTACAGCTGGGAGAGCCGCTTCCCAGAGGCCGGAGGGCGGGGCGCCTGAGCAGCGTCCAGCGCGGACCGGGCGCTGCCGGCCGCTGGGCCGAGGGGCTGGGAGCTCCGAACCGCCTCGGGCCGCCCCCTCAGCCCCACCGCTCACCTTGGCCCCGGGCCGCCTCTCCTCAGGTTCCGAGCGGGCTCTCCGCGCCTCGGCCGCCCCGACGTGCTTGCCGCGGGCGCGCCTCCTCTTCCGGCCCTTCTGGAGGAGCGCCCCGGTCCTTCCCCTCTCGGGCTCCATGAGGCTGCGCAGAAAGACGGGCGGGAGCTGAGGAAACCCCGACGCCCGGCTTCCCGAGCGGGGGGCCGCAGGGCGTCCACGGCTACCGCCTCCCTCGGACCCTCCCCACTTCCGTTCACACAGCGCGCCCCGCCGCGGAGCGAACCGCACCGCCCCAGGCCCAACGGTTTTACCGTCCGCGCCGGAGGCAGGATTCCAGACGGTTCCCCAAGGGCGCAAATGCGCCTCCGCCCGTAGGAAAAGACTGAAGGGGGCGCTGCCGGCCAGGTCCCCGGGCCGAAAACCACTCCCCACGTCCCGGAGCCCCGACTCTCCTCCCGGGCCCACCGCGTTTGAACGGACCGGAAGTGGATTCCGGCGATTTCTGGCAATTGGGCCATGAAGCGAAAGGCGTGTCGGGAATGGTGGCCAAGAGGCTGGCCCAGTACGCGAGGGAGTTCCCGGCGGGGTCGCTCCGAGTACCCCGGTGGCATCCGCCGCAGGCTGGGCAGGGGCGCGCGGCGTCAGCCTCCGTTCTCTGCAGCCCCGGCGTCTCCGACCCGCGCTCTCACGCCCGGGCTGAAAGGTGTCGGGCTGGAGCCTCAGGCCGCCCTGTGCGCGAGGTTGGAAGGACCAGGGTTCTTGACTGTGTGGCCTGGAGCCCGTGTCGGCGCGTTCTAGGCCTCGGGAAACGACTGGACGTGACAGCGCCTTGTAGACCGGTCGCAGGTCTCAGGCAGCCCCCAGTGCACCCTTGAAGCCGTTCACCCCACCACGTCCTAGTGAGCCGTGTAACTCATAATGTGGATCGTTGTGGCCTTCTGCCTGATGCCTGGAAACGCTGTGCACGTTTCCGACTTCTAGAACTGGTGTAATAGAGAAAAGCGTCCGTTCAGAGTTGGATGACCCTGATTCATGTACCAAATATGTGTTCTTTGGCAAATTACCGAATTCGTTTTCTCATCCATTACATATAGGTAGCAAAAGTGACTACTTTGTACAGTTGTTGAGGATTAAATGAGGTCGCCATCTTCAGTGCCTGCTATGTAGTAAGCAATGGATAAATGTCAGCTATTATTCCCAACTCCCCATCACACCTCATAAACAAAAAACTAGAACAGGAGGCGCCTGCCTAAAACTCTGCCTACTCATCAAGGTGGTCTCGCCATGCTTAAGACCTCAGGAAGCTCATCCCTTTCTGTGGACTCTGCATCTTTGGGATCCTTTATCATATATTACCTTCCAGTAGATTACCATGAATGTGTAGTTTCTTTATCCAGATATTTTAAGCTCTGTCTTGTCAGAACTGTGCTGTATGCACAGCAAGGGCTTGAAAAATGCAGAGGCAAAAATAAGAAGCTTTTCAGTGCATCTTTACCTCTACAATTACTTGAGTTCCTCAGTATTACTGTAAAATAAGGGGAGCAGAAAGAATTAGTCTAAGTTTGCAATTGTGTACTTTGAGACTTATGCAGGTAAACTGACTACTAAAATCAAGAGAGGGTGGCAGTTGGTACATAAATCAAGGTCTTTTGCCCTCAAAGTCTAGTTCAGTTTCCTCTCAATCACAATACATTAATAGTGAGGGTTATACCATTAGTTTGTTAGCCTATTCAAACAGGAGTGTGAATGAGTTTGTTGAACATATTGGGTTGTTTTACGTTTTCAGGCAGTTTGCATTAATTAGGAGAAAGTCAATTGCACCAGCAAATGGAAATCTAGGAAGAAGCAAATCCAGTAAGTAGTGTGCTTAGTTTCTTTACATGTTGTAGCTGCACTTTTCACACTGGTAAAGCATAACAATATCCTGACCTTTTGCAGAGCAGTTGTTTGACTACTTAATTGTCATTGATTTTGAGTCGACATGCTGGAATGATGGGAAACACCACCAGAGCCAGGAAATAAGTAAGTCTGGACTGCTGATGGCCAGGACTAGCACTTGATGAGTAACTTGAAGATTTATAGATAGAAATGAGTCAACGGTTAGTTTGAGAAAACGAAATGGTCTATGAATTGGTAGTTTGCTATAAAACCTGATTTGTCAAAAAAAGAACAAGAACCTAAATACCTAAATGTGTCATCACATAAAATAATTGTTTTAGGGTTACACACGAAATCTCAATTGCATAGAAACTAAAAAAAAAACCTTTGTAAAAAAGGAGTATATTTCAACTTCCATGTAGCCTTCGTAATTTAATTGTGGAAATATGTTCATGAATTTTAAGTAGATAGACTCATAGCTTCAATACTTTGACTTACTCTTTGGCATAACCTTATTATAATCATTATATCACACTACTTTGGTCATTTTAATATGCTTTTACTGAAACCGATTGTTTAATAATGCTATATGATCGTAATCTATGTTTAATTTAGAGTGATTACAGCATTAATTTAACAATTACATATTCAAGTGTCAGTTGCATCTTTCATGTAGTTGAATTTCCAGCAGTACTGCTGAACACATCAACTGGAGACATTGAACCTGAGTTCCATGCTTATGTTCAGCCTCCGGAACATCCAGTTCTTTCTGAATTTTGCATGAGACTCGCAGGCATGAAGCAGGTATTTCCAGCAGTTTAAGTTCCAGCAGTGTAAGCCATTTTTTCTTGCTGTGTTTAAGATCCACCTAGCTGCATTTTTAGCGTGTGCCTGGTGTTTTGATGTGCGTTTACATAGTGGTTGGACAAGTTTAGTCATTTGGCTGAATGGCAAATCAGCATCAGCCTATGGTTTGTCTGCCTGTAGCCTTCATAGGTGTCCAGCTTAGTGCTGTGTTTCCCATCCTGCATCACCCCAGGGCTGATGGATCTTCCTGCAGCCTCACAATGCTTCAGATTCTTTTTTTTTTTTTCCTAAAGATTGGCACCTGGGCTAACAACTGTTGCCAGTCTTTTTTTTTTTTTCTGCTTTATCTCCCCAACCGCCCCCCCCCCCCCCCATACATAGTTGTATATCTTAGTTGCAGGTCCTTCTAGTTGTGGGATGTGGGACGCCGCCTCAACGTGGCCTGATGAGCAGTGCCATGTCTGCGCCCAGGATCCAAACCCTGGGCCACCGCAGCGGAGCGCGTGAACTTAACCTCTCAGCCACGGAGCCAGCCCCTGCTTCAGACTCTTGAATCTGTAGCTGAAGCCATTGAAAATTGTTCTTAGACTTGGTGAATATTTTTACCAATAGTAGGTCTGTGGTAAGGAAGAATCTTGGGAAAATGATGTAGATATTGTCACATATATAGGAGACACTCATTAAGTGATAGGTGATGTTCTTGTTATCATTCTGTTAGATAATATGTTCAGACATCCCATTTGAATCAACCTCCGTGAGGACTCTTACTTACTCTTCTGTAAAAAGAGGCATTCCTGTTAAGAGTGAATCAGTCAAATGATAGCCCTAACTGATGGGAGAAAGCCGGCTTGCTGAAGAAACCCCTCTGAGTTTCCTTTACTTCTCCAAAGCCTGAGCTGTGTGAAAGATGTGTCAGAAATGGTACTATAAAACAGAAAGGAATTTTATGAAGTCTGGGGATAGAAAGAGAGCCACTTATTTTACAAACGGGGATCAAAGTCTCTGGATATTATGAAAAATTTCCACAGGGCCCCAAGCATAGATAGGATAGTAGTGAACACCTCTTATAAACCCATAATTCATTTTATGTGTATTTGATTTGGTAATGGTAGAATTCAGATGTGGGAAGAAGATTGGAGCACAACTCTTTGTGGTCTCAGATAGAGGCAGAGTGACCCTGTGTATTTTGAACATGAGAGGGCCAGTAAGTGGTTACCTGGAAGCTCATCTGTATTAGGTAATATCTGAGTACCTGGGCAGGTCCTGAGAGTAAGAAAGATCAAAGTTGGAGAACTGTTTCTAAATCAATTCCAAAATCACCATTATGTCTTTGCCTTTGTATTATCATTAATTTCAGGGCACAAACGAGAGTTGACTATTTTTAAATGCTTTTCTTTTAAGAGTGTAAGAAATGAGCTGGATGTTTCATAAGGTAATGGCATGTTGGTGAATGAAGATATGCCATATTTGAACATAACGTGTTCTTTGCTGCTCCATAAATTGCCTATGAACTAGGTCAGGTGCTTTCTTCATGTAATCATAATGTAATATGCTAATATCATTTCCTACCACAAGTGCTTCCTTCTGTAGAATACATGTCCTTGTTCACATAGCTACAGTGAAATTTAGAGTGAAGTGATTATTTAGCCAACTCTGAGGCTTGATACAATGCTTGGTGCTTTGGATCTGTGATTTCTCATTAATCTTTATTGATGATGATAAACAATTCCAGTTTGCAGGTACCCTAGAGAATTCTGGGGTATATGGAAAGATGCTAATCTTAGCAGCTTGGAAAAAATCCAAGTATCTTTGAAAGGCACTGGGCTCATTAGACTATAATTTTTCCATACTAAGGAACATGATGCAGTCATTAAAAAAGCATAAGACTGTCATGAATAAAGCTCTAAGGTACAGTGTGGAATGAAAAATGCAAGCTTCACCATGATACACAGAATGATACCATCTGTATAATCTCTCCACAATAAGAATATATTTCCATGGGGAGAAATAGGTGGATAGCTATAGGTTTAGATATACATTTATTTTAAAAAGTTCCAGAAGGATCTATATCCAATAGGAGAGGTGGTCTTTTTCTTTAATGTTTACCTTTTTTTACATGTAATATATTTTTATTTAATGTTTATCTTTTTGAAGGGAGGTATGATTACAAGTTAATTTCACACATCCAACCTTTTGATTGCAATTAGGTTTTATATTCCTAACTCCTTTGGAGCCAGAAGATGTGTACTTCAGAAGTCTCAATGGAATAAAAAAATCCCACAACCTAGTGGAGTTATTGTCTTAAATGGCAACAGGATGGATGCTTTAATGAAGGGTAGAATTGGATCTATTTCAATAAATTGAGGATTCCTAGTCTCATTTGTGGCACCATGAGTGGAAGTGGACTCTTTGGAGAGATCTTCTGTTACCTGGCAAAACACTTGTGTGGAAGCAGTTCCTGGTACGTCCCTGGATTTCTAGGTAGAGCGATGGTGGGAAATCTGGACAGGGCCTGTGCCACCAAGAAAGGAAAAACAAAATCTGTGTGAAGATGAGAAAGCCAGTGAGACTGTTGGGGAAATGTCCAGGGGAGAGGATCACTAGCTTCAAGACTCAACTGGAGCAAGTCCTTTATCTTAATGAGTCTTGGAAGAGGATTTAGCTGTTCCTATCTGGATCTAGGAGCTACCATGTTAATCACCCTGTAACTGAATGGATATATAGCTTGGCCTTTACTTCTGGATCCCAGAAGTCCCTTTCTTAGCTTTTTATTGCTTTGAACAATAAACCTGGATGTTGTCAGTAAACTTTTGGATTTTGAAGGTATTTTAGATATTAACACAGCATTTTAGAGATTGTATGATGGAATCCAATAGACCCAGTTTTCTTCCTGGTTCCACTTCTGAGTCCTTGGGCGAGTTACTTAACCTCTCTGAGCCTTAGTTTCCTGAGTTTCTACCACATGGGTTTATTGGGGAGATGAAACAATGTGTGTTAAGTGCTAGTACATGGTCAATAAAAGCTGCTGATATTAATGTTATCATCATCTTCATTATCATTATTGCCTTTTAAAAGTTTCCTTTTCAGTGATTCAGCTGAAGCAGCCAAGTCCTCCTGATTCCAAAGAGCCTAGAGAAGTGAGAGGACATTGTTCTCAGAAGGAGGGAGAAGATCTTCGGGTCAGGATGACATTTCAGATTTAATTCTTGATTCACCTCATGTTGGGCATGAGTTGTTGGGCCATTGCTAATGTTTCCTTTCTGGCCTTTGCCCCGGCCCTCACAGGGAACTAGTCTAACGTTTAGAAGAGACTCAGGGCAGAAATACACAGGCTGCTTGGAGCCAAGCTCCCTAGACATTGCCATGTGATACAGAAATACACAGGCTGCTTGGAGCCAAGCTCCCTAGACATTGCTCAAAGACAAAGTTCCACCAAAGACATCACCCAGACCCCACAAGACATCTGTTGGCTAAAGGTCCATCCACTGTCTAAAGAGAAATGGGAAAAAACATCTGAATTCTGTTGCATTGGTACTAGCAACAACAAGAAGAATTGCTAGTTGTCAAGCACTAACCTGTGGAAATAAAAACCACTCAAATGAGAACAAGCAAAGGCTATTTACTCAGAGTTTGCTATAGCAAGGGAGTCGGCCCCCATCATTTGCAGTTTGGCAGACATTCAGGCAGGCAGAGGACTGTAAAGCTTTATAGTGGAGAGAAGGGAAGGATCTAGATGCCCCCTGAGTGGAGGCTGTTGGCATGGGGAAGCTGTAGGCGGGCTAACTAGAGGTGGACGTCCTATGTGATCGGTTAGGGGTGCATGTTTGGCTGTCACTGGTTGGTCCTATGTTAGAAGCGGGACAAAAATTAGGGAAGCTGTCAGTTATTAATTAATCCCTGGCCATTTGGGGCTGATTGCTGCAGGGGTTATTGTTTGGCTTCCTGGGCTGGTTGCTGGAGATAGCGGTCTGACTTCCTCCAAGTCTGATTTGGAGATAGCAGGCTGGCTTCCTGGGCTGGTCTGTAGATAATGGGTTGGTTTCCTGGGCTAGTTGCTGCAGACTGTGGGTCAGAGTTCTATTTTGATATGTGATCTGGCCATTGTCCATTTGTATATTCAGTTTCTTACACCATATTGTGGTACTGTGTTCAGTGCTTTACAAATGTAAACATACTAAATACTTTCTTTTATATAAATAGAAGCACACTTTCCACAATGTTCTGCACTGCTTGTTCTCCTGAACAGTGAATACTGAAGATCTTTCCATATCAAACATATAGAAGTGCTGCATTTTTAAAGTAGTTGCATAATGTTCCATCAGATAGATGCACCATTATTTATTTAACCAGCCTCCAAATCCAACCTTTTTGCTATTACAAATTAGGTTGCAATAGCTATCCTTGTGGTGATGACAGCTTGCATGTATGGCAATGTATCTGTGGGGTCAATTCCTGGAAATTGACTGCTGGGTAAAAGGGCATGTGCATTTATAATCTTGAGAAATATTGCTAAATTTCACCTCAAATTATATCTAGTTTAATTCTTAGAAAAACCCTGTATTGATTGGCATTTTGATAGACGAGGGAACTGTCTCATAGACGTGAAATAGCTGGTCCAAGGCAGTGAATGCAGCCTTGGAATTGGAACCTCGATCTAGCCAGTGGGCTCTGAAGCACTGTGTCCTACTGCCTCCTCCCCGTGTTAGGGTAGCTACTGTTATTAATCTCCAGCTACACGCCAGGCACTGAGCTAAGCATGCTATGTACAAGAGCTCAGTTAAATCTCACAACCTTAGGAGGTAGATGTTACTGTATTTAGTTAATCTAAGATGCCATCAATTAGGAGTCCCACCATTATTCTGTGACTCGTCAAGAAAATGCAAAGCAATCCTACTTAAACTTGGGCATGCTTTGATTGTAAGGCACTTCCTGATTTTAAAAGAGTGAAATGTAAAAAAAAAGTGCCTCAGGGAGTCTACAAAATACAGCATTATCCCATTTTACAAATGAGGACACTGAAGTATCATGAGGTGAAATGACTTGCCTAAGGTCACAACTCGTCATTGGCAGAATTAAGGTTTGAAAGCTTATCTGTTTAATGCCAGAACCACCTCGGTACTCAATATTTTCCTTGCTCTTGTGCTGGGAGCAAATAATTATTTGGAGTCAGGGCTTCTCCAAGTAAAGTAGTGGTACCAGGGAATTCTCCAGGTTTAGATGGCAGAGCAAGAGGGCTTTGAAATGTGCAGGACTCTTATCCTGGATATAATGAGCTAAACTGCCACTGCCACTGCCTCTTGGTCTAATCATCTCATGTTCTAGCACTCTGTTCTGACG